AATGTCACATTTAACTTACAGGCCCTCTTACTGTATTCTCTTTCATGTACAATGTTATATATTGGCTAAAAATAAATTGAATAAATAAAAATATCAAAGAAAAGAGTAAACATGAGAGTTAATGTGTCAAGAAAATTTATATAATTTTTTTCACACATTTTCAGATTATGAGAACAAACTCAGGAGATATATATTTTTTAATTGTTTCTTTTGTACAAAGTTATTGCCTGAGCCATGTCTTTCATGTTTCTTTTTTCTCATTAGCATTAAAATAGCATCAATTCTTAAAGATTAGCTGCTTCCTTCCCAGGAGATTTTCAAAACTGAAATATGTCCTTCAGTTTTGCACAGAGTAAGATTTAGTATTAACCAGTTATTAGTTACTAATAGCAAATAGAAAATCCAGGGCATATGCCTAAACTTAATGTTTGTGAAAACACTTTTACAGTATTCACACAACTTCTATAGTGCTATGCAAAAATTTTTATTGACACAGCATTCTTTCATTGATTATCATGGCACTCTGTTAGCTACTCCACGAGATCATCATAATTTTATTACCTTAGTGTAGTACATAGACAGATAAAGGATAGAAGGGAAACTTACAGGATAAAGTTCTTAACAGTTTCGAATTATGTAGATATAAAATTCTTAACATTAGACAGTGAGAGCACAGTGTTAAGAAGTATAACCACTGGTTCCCAAATTCACTGAAGTATTCATTCTTTTCTAAAACCAAGCTCCATACTCTTTACAAATATAATTATTCAACTTCACTCTGTTCTCAACATATCAATAAGAACACCTATATTTTGAACATCCTTTGCTAACAATTTTCCAAGGTGTCTTTCATTTCCAAGGATTTATATTATTGTCTTAAACAAAAGAAAGCTTCAATAATTTTTGATTGTTTAAGCAAATCCAGAAAGTACTTCTACTTACAGGGGCTGAGATACACACAATGTAAATCAATTAAGACACTGAAATTCTAAGTCTCCTACAGTATGGCTTAGCCTATAATTGTAGCCTTATTTCCCACCACATCCCTTCTCTTCAGCCACACAAATTATTCTCAACGTCCCTAAAACTTAATGCATACATTTAAGAATTCGGTGCCTGTCTTCAAGCTATTCTCTCTTCCTAAAAGGTGCCTTCTACCCTCTCTTCCAGACCATATGTGATTCCTTAGATTATAAGAAAGAGCTAATGGGTCACATCCTACTACCAATCTTCCTCAAGCAGAATTCATCCTTCCCTTTATTATTCTTTCACAAAACATTACTCGAAACTACCTGAAGATACTCTCTTTGGCCTTATGATTGTGTAGACCTATTTCCAAACTGCAAAACAGTACATGGAACAAGAGAAATGTGTTACATTGAATTCTGGACATGACTTTTAAAAAAAGAAAGTGTATTTTTGATGTTGGCAAAAATGAGTTGAAAAGCAAGAAAATAAATATATTTTCTTTTAATTTTTGCAAGCCTAAAAAGTCATTTGCTCAAAACTATTCATCTATTTTCCATATTTGCTGACCAGAGGTGCTTATGTTATATTCAAATAACCAGTAATGGTTTTGTTTACAGGCACATCATGAATGCCTACTCCTGTAATTACATCAGCATGTTACTAAGGGTGGAATAGGTATTTTTAGTAAAAAAAAAAAAATCAAAAATTAAAACCACTATGAATTAATTTACTAAAGCATATAGTTTATATGATTCATAATATAAATCATACATTATATGATTTCAAAACTATCTCTTAGTTCAATTCTTTATGGAAAGAAAATTTTATCAATTTGAAAGTTACTCCTAGGAAATACTTTATTCAGAGAAGCACCAAATATACTTTATATCATAAGATTGTCAAATATATCATCTATTGTCTTTTCTACCCATGACATATTTGTAAAAACAACTGAAGTAGTGTCTCTGAGAAAACGCAACTTTAGTTAAAATGGCCGTTCAAATTGGCATGGCTCAAAAAACCTGAGAACCTTAAAAAATTACACAATTTCAAATAGATTTAATTATAATTTTAATACACAGGTATAAATGGTAGTTTAAATGTTATACACTGGTTTACAGTTCCTATAGATTTTAAATTATTTAATCAATTATGATGTCTAGATGATTTTCATTCTTGCCATTTTTAGAAGATTGTTTTCAAAGTTTTTCTATCCTTACTAATTATTTCCTCACTTGTCTTAAACTACAAATAGCACTAAGTAAAGCTCTATTCCTGTCTGTAATCTATCCTCTTCATTAAAAGAGAAATTTAAGTTGTATGTTTTCTTTAAAATTTACTTATGTCATCTATCCATTTTATTGTTTCCCTTGGTTCACCTCTGTTTTATCTAATTCATGAAGCTTTATCCATATCTATTATAAAATATGTCCATGTGCTCCTATTTTCAAGTATGCCTACTGCTGACACTTGCCATATATGCATTATTATTTGGGGGGATAATCTAAAAGTCAAATAGCCTATTCCAAGGTAATTGAGTATTCAATTTACTTTTGAATATCTGAATCCATGTGTTATTGTTCCCTCTGTAGTCTATACGTATTGCTCATTGCCCTTTATCTTTACATGGTAGAATCTTCAAAGAAATAAAAAGCACCTACTGTGAAATACATGTGAAGATTAAAATATGTTTGGCTTAGAAATTTTGCTGTATTATTTCCTCACTCTGTGACCATGAAGAAGTTATTTAATATACCTGAAGCTCAATTTTCACATCTTTCAATAAGGAAAATTTATACTTGATTTCTAGGACTCATGTGAGTAAAGTGCTTTGAACAAAGCCTAGCATATGGTAAATGCTCAATGAATTTTTAACCATCTTTTCCTTTTCTACCTTATTCTATCATATTTATTTTCTACTGTAGTCTCTCCTTCCCTGCTTCTTTCTCTTTCCTCTTGTTCATTCTTGGCTGGTGCCCAAAATGTGTATCTCAGTTTAGTAGTATGTTTATCAAGGGGATAAAAAATCTGAATCAATTATGCAAACAGCACACATAAGTAATTGCCTTTTCATAAAGTTTCCAATGTTCCTCTCTGTTAGTGTACCATAATACGTATACAGGTATTAGAGTCAGAAATAATTTAGTTTGAATTGGAATCCATCACTCACTATTTGGCCTATAACTTCTTGGTAAATTTTGTTCCTTACCATCTTTAAAACTGGGTTTCTCCAACAGGGAAAGAAAACTAAGACATACCTCATAGGGCCGTTGTGAAAAAAAGGATAAAATTCTTAGTGCAGTGTCCAGAAAATAGAAAACTATAAGGTAAGCATCACTTTTCAAACAATTCTGCCCTCTCTCTATAATAAATCAGAAGTAGAAAAATTCCCCATTTCATAACACCTATGACAAAATCATTACAAGAACAATAGCAGTAAGTTTATTTGTAACTCTGTAAGTCCCTGTGTCTCCTGGTTACCAGTTTGCTTTAAGAAATGCAGCCTGATCAAGCCAAACACAATCACTAGAGCAGAGCACAACTCCTTCTGTTCCTCACATGATTCTTTGGCTATGACAACATGAGGTCAGTGATAGTATGACTGCTAATATTTTTGTCATTCTTTTTCCAGAAAATGAAAAAGTGGGGCTTATAAACTACTTAATATTTGTAAGTTCTTATAAGTTACTTCATATACTGAGAAAACAAGATATGTATATATCTTGAAAGGGTATTCCAAAAAAGAAGTTTCATTCACTTCTTGAAAGTAATTGTGATAAACTAACACACTTAACACACTCAATGAATACTGATGTTTATTCATTTTAATGAAAATAAGATAATGAAGGTAAAAGCATAATCTTAGTTTAAAAGATACATTCTCAGAAATGGTTTGACGAGTGCTATGTAAGAATAAAATTTAAATTTCAGAAAAAATAAAGCCATAGTCTATAAACAAACAAATAGAAATAAATAAATAACCTGTTAAAGACAGAAACATTAAACTCTTCATAGGAATTTTTAGTTGAAAATACACATTTAATGAATAACTGTTGAATAATTGCTGATATAAAAGTCAAATTGAAACAGCATTGCTGGAATGATTCTAAAAATATAAAACAATTTTGGGTCAACCAACTTTTTTCAGATTTAAATTTGTAGATGTAACAGAAAAAGCAATGTAAAAAAGTATCAAGGAAGAATGTGATGAATGAGAAAAATACAATTTCTAAAAAAAGGAAGAAAAGCTAACCAAAGTATATCTGAAAACAGCTGACTACCTCCATTATTGAAGATTTGCTTAAATAGACAAAATCTAGGTAAAAAGCAGCACAAACCACCCTTCTTATTTTAGCTTGAAATAAAAAAAGTAGTAGGAATACACTGACTGTGAAAATGATGCAAAATATATCAAAACATATAAAAAGTCAAGTACAACCATAGCTAAAATGACGTCAGTACCTGGAAAAGTGTACTTAGTAAATAAATTATACATTCTTATAAGCCTTTCAAAAGCAACTACACTCAGCTAACAAAAGCCTGATCATAATGTATCTTTTTGCCAAGTTCAAAAGACACATACTGCTTTAGCAGACTCATATTTTCTAATGAATACCAAATTGTTAGTATCTGGAAAATACACTTATGCTATGATAATCTAAAGTTTGTTTATGCACAAATACTCAGTCAGGTTACCAAATTTAACAAGCATATACACAGAAAAAAAAAGTGTCTTGAACATAAAATTTTATTTCTAAAGAAAATATTTATATGATAGCTATTCTAATACTACTATGTATAAACACTATATTAAAGAACAATTACTAATTTAGAAGAAAGCAAAGAATTTTATATATCATTCCCATTGGTTAGCAATTCTAATTGCATTTTAATCTTTCCTATGTAATCTAATTTATACACTAAAATTCATACTTAATACAGCCAAAACCACAGTTTTTCTTTCTTTAACTATTATAACAGACCCTAAAAACCTAACAAGAAAAACAATTTTAAAAGATATTTAAACTTACCCCATTTAATGGATATGTTTTCCATCCTAGCTCTCCCAGCACAGTTGTTGTATCAAGCAACACAACTGGAATTAAACAAAACAAAAAAACTTGCATGAACTTCTCAATTGACATAAGAATGAACCAGTTATTTAAATCATTAATGTCAACGACCTTTAGTATTATTCATCGTATTAGCTTTAATAAGTTGAATTACTTTAAAATTATTTGTAGGTACTAAATCTTAATATATAATACTTAATAATATTGAGTAAATATAAAATATATAAGGTGGTTATAAATTAATTTTAAAATAGCGTGGTATTTAACAATGCTAAATGAAATAGATGACTGAGTAACAGTACTAACAAAGTCATTTTTAATAGCTGACTTTTAAAATTGATGAATGTTGGAGAGGTTAATCAAGAGGATATGACCACCAGATGACTCAAGCTGGACCTGAGCAATAGGTGGGAGGTTCCTCAGCTCCTCCCCTGTCCTTAGAACTATGCTCTGCCTATCATTCCCACAGTGATAGCTGTTCCGAGGACAGAGCCCTGAAAGAATAAGAGGCTACTGAAACCATCTGGATGGTATACGTGACTGAACCCAGTTGAAGTCTCTAAGCCTCTGGTGGTCAAGTGTAGAGATCTACTCATCTGACAGGCACCCAAGACAAGCCTTGTGCATAAGCTCCCTTGCTTATTAAAACTGCCACCTACCAATCTGGAGTGATCTACCTGTTTCTTTGTTCTCTTTCCTCGCCCTGCATGAGTACAGGGTCACTTTGCAAACCAACAATGAAATAATCACCTTTGCTTTTCCCCCCATTTTCATATATAGTCTTTTTTATACCACATTAAAGAAAGAAAAACTTTTAAAGCAGGCCTGCCTGTATATTTTCTTTGTGTGTTATTAAATGCCCTTACATGATTGGCAAAGTATGAAAACAACTCATTTTGAAGAAATCTATATTTTTTAAGTGTAGATTACATTATTATTGTATGTGTTAGTATACTTACTGCTAAAGAAGACAAAAGCAAAAATAAAAACCATGCACCTTTTTCCCTGACCAAATGTAACTCATAATCTGGTTGAGAAGACATGCAAACAAATAATCAGGACATACTCTGTTAAATTCTAAAACTGAACACTATATAACAGCTTAGGAATTAAGTTAGGCTAAGGCTGGTAGGGCAGGTCTGGGACAATTTCATAAAGGAAATGCAATTTGGGCTGGGCTAGGATGAGGGGGGTCTTTAATCAGATGTGATGAGAAACAAATTTATTTTAGAATACCTTCTGTAAAGTAACTGAGCTATGACTAAATCAGTTCTCAGTTACTGGAATGGGGAGTAGGAGTAGAGATTATTTGGGGGAATAGGAGGATAGAAGGAGGCCAGAAAGACAGATGGAGATCAACAGGAGAGGATTTTTGAAGTGTTTCCAGCAGGTTAATGTGTAGGGCCCATGTTTCAGCAGATTTTAATTTTAACTATTACCTTCAAGTCCCCCAGATGCCGATCATGGACTGAACTCTGAGAAACAATCCTTTGGTATTTCATCATGAGTTTTAGTTCTTCATCTAGTTAAAAAAGTGGAGGGGTTTTTGTAGTTTTTAAAAAATGTCACTGGAAGTCTGTTACTTGGCATCTGCTGTTTAGTGTCTATAGCAAGGACTCGGTGGGTTTTCTTATTTGACTGTGATACATTTTATTGATTTTTAGTATGAAACCATGCTTAAATTTCTGGGATAAACTCTACATACTCATTGCAGAATATTCTTCCAGTATATTCACTAAGCATACATTTGTAAAACTGAGCCATAATTCTTTAATTTTTATTGTGCAAAATTCTCAAAAATAATTTAAAATGTGGAGAAAACAGTACAATGAACCCTCATTGTACTAATCACTCTGCCTCAATAATTACAAACCTATAGCCAATCTTATTTCATCTATACATGTTTACCTACTCTCACTGCAAGATTTCTTTGAAGCAAATTCCAGTAATCATATGATTTCATCTGTAAAAATTTCAGTATGTATATCCAAGATAAAGACTCCTCTTAATACAACTACAATAACAATTCACTACTATAAATAGTATGTATTACTTAATGTCATCAAATATCCAGTCATTGTTTAATGTTCCTATGGTCTCAACTTATTTTAACAGAAAGTCAAGATCCAAATAGGTTCTATACATTATGGTGAGATCTTGTTTTTTTTTTAATCGATGGGTTCCCCACTTTCTTTTTTTAAAGTTAGGTTTATTGAGGTATGATTTACTTACAATAAAATTCACCTTTTTTAAATGTACATTTCTACGGATTGTGACAAACTCCTACTTCCATGTAACCCCCACTACAATCAAGCTATAGAATATTTCCATCACCACCAGAATTTCCCTTGTGATCCTTTATGATGAATCCTTTCCCCACCGCAGCCCCGAGCAACCATTAATCTGATTTCTGTCCCTATGGCTTTGCCTTTCCCATAATGTCAAATGAATGAAATTATACAGTATGAAACTTTTTGAGCCTGGTTTCTTTCATTCAGCATAATGCATTTGAGATTCATCTATGTTGCTATGTGTATCTATACATACAACTGAACACTCAGTTGCTTTTTATTGCTGAAAAGTATTCTATTGCATGGAATTCCCTAGCTGATGAACTTTCATATACAGATTTTTATGTGAACCTATGCTTTCATTTCTCCATGGTAAATAGTGATTGCTGGGTTATATAAAGAATGCTAATTCTTCAAGACTGTAAAACTGTTGCTTTACTTTCCCATTAGCAGAATGTCTGGTTTTCCAATTGTTCCACATTCTCACCAGAACTTGGTATTGTCCATTTTTTAAGGCATTCTAACAGGTGTGCAATAGTATCTCACTGTTGTTTTAAATAGCCAGTTATCTTTTCACTACATGAAATCAAATTTATTAGCAAAAATTTTGACCCACAAAAGTGGTCTTATCCCACATTCCAGATTTTCCTTTGCGTGAGGTATCATTGAATATGTTCCCCCATTCCCTGCATTTCCTTTAAACTGGTAGATATATTTAGTGGCTTGACCAGATCTAGGTTCCACTTATTTTTATTTTTTGTAAGATCACTTCATTGGTGGTGCTTTATAGTCCTTATATCAAATCAGGGAATATATCAATGTTTACTAGGGTCATGTAAAAAGGACACAGGAACCAACTGGCATAGGCTTCCACTGGCCAAAAATTTATAACTTGATCATACACAAGGTTAATGACTATAAGGGATTGAAACACTTCAAACATGCTTAAATCCATGCATTCAAAATGATAAAATATACCGACTAATAACTTTTGCAGTACGCTAGGAAATCATTATTTTTAAAAACTGGTAAATAATCTGAAAAGAATAAAACATTTATTTTGCTTTTTCTATATGAAATACTTCTGAATAAGGAAATAGTTAATGAAGGAACATTTCTCTTTTTTTACTTTATTTATTTATATTTATTTTATTTTTGGCTGCGTTGGGTCTTCACTGCCGCACATGGGCTTTCTCTAGTTGCGGTGAGAGGGGGCTACTCTTCATTGCGGTGCGCGGGCTTCTCATTGCAGTGGCTTCTCTTGTTGCAGAGCATGGGCTCTAGGCACGCAGGCTTCAGTAGTTTTGGCTCACGGGCTCTAGAGCGCAGGCTCAGTAGTTGTGGCACACGGGCTTAGTTGCTCCACAGCATGTGGGATCTTCCCGGACCAGGGCTCGAACCTGTGTGCCCTGCATTGGCAGGCGGATTCTTAACCACTGCACCACCAGGGTGCAGTGCATTTCTCTTACTGAAATATTTCAGTTAATAAATGAAGAAGGAATGATCAAATTAGGTTACACCATTTTCTACTCTTAATGTATTAATATATTTAGCTAATAACTTATGGTGCTAATATCACATAAAGAGATGAAAGGACACATAAAGGGCTAGAGCTTTTAAAAAGGCTTTCTTTATAGCCTCATTTACTCCATATTAACATACAATTCTAACAAGCCTAGAAGTAAAAGAAAGTACAAATACATATATATCTATATATGTATACATACACACATACATATACACATACACACACAAACACACACATGCAAATTCACAAAATGATATTTGATGGTGTGTGGGTTCACTCAGTGTAAAAAAATAATCTCACATATTAGAGGAAAAAAGCTGAAGATATTATAATAAATATTCAAAACTCTAAGCTTATCTTATTATTAAATAAATGTTATTTTATTTTTGGTATATACTATTGAAAAGAATTCAGAAGTATGTAATACCAGTATCCACTTTGGGGCACTCAAAAGTTTAATGTTACTCCTTTAGCACTTTATATTTTTGGAATACATCATTATTTTGCTAGCAGGCTGTTAAAGTAATGATAGCAATTCAGTCACTGTAGGAAGGATGGTCTACATATTTCCCTCTTGAAGGAATCTCCACATTGTCCTGTAAGTTGTTTCTTTTTTTAAATGCTCAATTTACAGATGAGAAAACTGAGGCTCAGAGAGGTTACATAATTTTCCTTAGATCACAAAGTGATTACAACCAAAAGATTGATGCTAGGATATCCCTTAAAAAATATTTAAAACCTTTAAACATTTTTTAAAGTGTTTTCTTCCTTCCTTTTAAGTTTGCATATAAAACCTTATCATTTGTTTTTTTTTTGGTAGATGCAGAGAAAAATCATTATTTATTTTGCTGATTCCAAATCCAGATAAGTTTATATCCTGGTTTTCTCATCAATGGGTTCTACAGAAACTTTACTGGTACCACCTACAAATCATGCCATTTAAATCAAGGGGTTTACTGGAGTAGAGTGTTCAAAAATCCCTAATATTGAAGTCTACCAATGGAGATTTCTTTTTCATAGATTGGTAAATTAATTCATTCATTGATATAATTATTTTTTCTAAAATATAATTGGGCTACTTGGTTCTTAACATTTATAATTTGTAAACTGAAATATATTCATTTCAAAACAAACAAAAAAGAAAATATGTATATACCTACAACAGTATAGATCCTTAGGAAGTATTTTTTTTTATTTATTAGTA